TCCCATTTCTCCGCTGCCTCTGCTGCCATCTCCCTTTACCGCCCCAGCCAGCTTGAAGCCGAGTATGTTACCAGCTCAATCTCCCATCCTGCAGCCTGTTGACACGCGTGCAATGCGTTCACACATGTAATTTTGCGAATTCTAGGAATGCAAACGTGTGTGTGCCCCGTGAATAATATTAGAGTGCATGTAAGGCATAGAGCGCTACACACTGAGGCAGAAAGCACTATAATAAAAATAATATGAGTAGAGCGCATGGCTTAGACTTAGAACGGCACACTTGTGTCATTTAAGTGTGCAGTCTCAGTGCTTATACACACACACTGTGCCCTCCTCTGCAGTGTATCACTCAATTAAATTCACTGAAGATAATATATTGAAGGTGCTTCGCACTACATTGATCTATGATGCGCGAACCCTGCCGATCCGGCAATCACCGAGAAACATCATCCTGAACGAAGAATCAACAAGTCCGAATACTCTAAGGAGTTCTCAGCCGGAGAGAAATAAAATCTGCTGCCCATATGAAATATTAAACTAGAAATGGTTGCGCGGCAACCAATAAAATAAAACTCGCTCACTAGATAAGTTGCGTGGCACTGTAATTAAATCCGCGGAGCCAATAAGAAGACACACGCCACATGGCACGACGAGGCTAGGCCTTGCCAAGTGGAGAAAACAGCGGTAGCACACGCACCGACACGGAGTGCTGAGTAAAATAATGATTACTATCACTACGGCTGACGCGGCACGCAAGGGAAGGGAGTCCGAGATGGAGCATTGTCTATTTTCAGTATTTACATTTCATATAGTTAACGGTAAATATAAGAGCGGTAGTTACAGGTAGTTAGTAAGTTTTTCAGACCCCCGCAGTTGTACTACGAAGCAGCGCGCTTAGTGTACGATGAAAGGATTTTATTTGAAGCTTCGAGCGAGAGAGTATTATTGAACTTAGAATTATTTTGAACACTTTGAGAGCTCGCGAGGCATGCCTTGCTCGAGCGCGCTTGATTTGTTCAAGTAAAGTACAGTAATTGATTGTGCTCTACTTAGAGAATATTGTATTGTGATAACTTGAATGTGCATTTGTGTTTTTGGAACTTGTTTGTGAATTCCGAGTTATTGCAAGTGGCAGAGGTTCGAACCCTTTGGCTTGTCAGTAATCTCTGAGGTTTTTTTGGTTTATTCCCAAGTGGCATAGGTTCAAACCCTGTGGCTTGTGGACGTGTTTTCTGTGTTTGTGTATCTCTGGATCGCATAGGTTAGAACCCTGTGGAGCTACGAACGGGTTTTGAAGTGTTCTCTGCTTGGAGCGCAAGGCTTTAAGTCGTGTTAAGTGTATTGTGAAACGTTGTGGACACTTGTGTGTTGCGCGCGACGTATTTTGAGGGTTATACGTTCTTGTAGAACATTTGGGGGCTTGCGAAATAATACTTTTGCCTTCAGGCCAAGCGATTCTGTCGCTCACCTCCTGTTCCAAAAGCATTTGGACTTAGAAGATTATTATATTGCTAAGCGCGCTATATTATATTGTAACGTGCAAGGATTATTTCAATACTACTGCTATTGTGTGCTTGTATCGCACATCACCCCCGAACTACTGAGGGTTTGTGTGTGTGTGAGTGTGAGTGTGGGTGTGTTAGTGTTATATACGCTAGTGCATCTCTAGCTTGGCGCGCACAGAGCCTCTTCACCATAAGGCCGGTACTCTCTGACAATGCCTCGGCAGCGAAGGATGCAGAAGTTGGTGTCGGCAGCACTGTACCCCTTATGCACAGGTCGGACCCAATCCCGCATGACAACCCCTTCACTTTGACCCAACATCTCCCAGGATTCCAGACCGGGCAACTGAGTCTCAGCAAGCGAACTGCTGAGGATTCTCTGGGTAGCAGTGTCGTTCTTAAAAGAATGAAGACAGATGGAAGAGGCAGCAGTAATCGCAAGGGAAGCCTCATGACGAAAGTGGTAGAGGCACCTGAAGGGACTGAGAAGGTTGTACCCCCCCTTGCCAGCATCGTCTTCCCATCTGGTGCACCCCTTTGGGTGGTTCTGGTCTTGGAATTGTTCACATCGCATGATTTTGGGCCCAACTGGACCCAAGTTGTCTACTCATGGGTGGCATTTCAGTCTGCGAATGGTTTTGACAGCAGCAACAAATTACCCACTGACTACTGCCCCGAGTGCATAGGTCAATGGATTTCACATGCATGATATTACGATTTCACGCTTTATCTCATCTTATCGAACTCATCATAATCCTGCTATGCTAACTCTCCGACTCTGATCGTACTATACCATGCTAGTACCGTGCGTTTACCGCACCGTTACAGACTCTTGTAGTATATTTAGAACAGTCCAAACTGTATTTAAGTAGCTCGACTGCAGGTCTTAAACCTCAGTCTCGAACTAAAGTTTATTCACCCGATAACTTAGTCTGAACTCACTCTCGCTCGCTAAGCGATAGCTCCCTGCACGCAAACCTGCAGACAACATAAAGCGCCTGACCGAAGTGCGAGTCACGCTTAGTTGTTTGATCTTGTTTGTGTAATCGGTCGCTAACAATTAGTTCGAGACTTTCTTACTCTTCATCAACAACCACGTTGACGAAGACGAACGAATGAACCCTATCGAACAAACCGTCACCGACTTCCTTGGACTACAAGGCCTTTGCACCCTGGTCTACCTAGCGTTCCTATATGGATATGAATACAGACGAAACCAGGAGCCAGTCTCCGAAGAAACTATCCCCGTCGAAGCCCCCAACCCGGAGGCTAGACGATCGGACACACCCCCCCCAGACTACGTCAATGACCGACCAGAACCCGTTATCAACTTCATCATTATCACCAGCGATGAGCGGGTCACAGAGGACTCCGATTCCGATGAGTCCGACTCCGAAGTGGAAGGATGGCCCTCACAAAGAGGCCCAGTCGTTGAAGAAGAAGAAGAGCGGGGAATCTACGAACAAGGGATGGACCAGCGTGTTCTCTCTCCCATTACCGAAGAAGAAGGGGAAAGCGAAGGAAGCAACCCCTGGGACGCCCCATCCCCCACTTCAACCGAAAACTCAGCCGCCAACCCTGGGTATGATTCAAACGGGCAGCGCCTCTATCAGCGAGGGCTTAGATATCATCTGGGAGAAAGAAGAGCGACTGAAGATGGAACTGGAGGCAGTACAGATGAGGAGGACAGCGCTACAGAAGAGGACAGTGACGGCGAGCTCCCAGGGCCACAGAACAACTGGTCCCCTCCACGCCTCGACTCCAGAGGAGAAACCTGGGGTTACTACTACAGCCGCAGCGACGATGAGGGAGAATACCTCAATCTCGTCACGCGTCCAAACACCCCAGTCATCATCAACGATAGGGCCGGGGAAGCCACTACCGAGCTCGACCAATGTGAGCCCACATACGATGCCGATGCCAGCTGCGATATATGCCGACAGGTACAGGACTACGCCGACGCGTGGCTCATGTACGAAGGAATTGAACCCCCTTCCTCCGTCGTCCCCTTTGCCATCTACCCACTCGCCCCAGAACACCCCTTTGCAGCCCCCATCCCCTTCATCGCACCCTGGGTATGGGATAGACCCCGAAGACCGGACTTCGAACAGGTCGTTCTCAGGGTCAACGAGTGGGCCCGAATCATACGAAACTGGAACAGAATCGTCACAGGAAGCCAGGAGCCGTTCGAGCGAGTCCGACCAATTGGACTTAGAAGAAGGAGAAATCTACGAGAACCGTGGAATCGAGTCGACTTCGATATGGAGCAGCTACACCGGGCAGGAGAGTATGGAGACGAGGACATCATACCAGAATTCGTGGAAGGATCTAGCTCGGGAGCCTACTGAGGCGGAGCTAGTAACAATGACATACCTTGAAATGCTGCATTGGACGGAAAAGAAGTTACCAAGAGAAATCTCGTGGAACGGGTCTCCACAGGGAAGGTACTTCCAGAAGGAAAAGAATTCACCCATTGGAGCCCACATGCTTTATCGAGAAACCCTCTTCCATACGAATATTCTATGGAACCAAGTGCACCCGGAGGACTACGTAGAACCGGGAGAACGGTACCCGGTACCAGAACCAACGGAAACATCCGATGGAAGCACAGTGGACTTAAGCCACCTATCGATCCTACGACGAACCGGATACGTGGACCCTAGCCGGTTATTTGCAGCCACAGGCACACCAGGAAGCGGAGGTGCAGCAGCGGTACCTATACCCGCAGCACCCGCAGCACCCGCAGTACCCACGGGGCCACCATCCCCGCATCACAACCCGGCACTAAGGTCACTCCCACGACCCGCAGCAATCCCAATCCCCGCTGACCCTGTACAACCACCCAACACGCCACCTCCGTTCATAGTCGGAACGGCAAACCCCAATCCCTGGGCACTAGTAAAGCCACAGCTAGCTGACCCACCAGAGAAGTTCGCAGGGGCCTCTAACGACGTAGACCGGTTCTTTAACCAGTGTGAAGATTACTTCGCGGTATTTCCCCAGCTATTCACCATGAACACGAGTGGACAAAGCCCGAGCAGGGTCGTGTTCTGCACGTTCAGATTCACAGACAAAGCACTGCACTGGTGGAACCACGCCCGGGATGAATACTATGATCCCGTCTGCGATCACCTAAGGTACCCAGCCTATCACGTATTCAAGCAAATAGTCGAAAACCAGTTCCGAACCGACGCGGAGGTAGAACTCAAGTTGCAGGAATTCAAACGCCTTCGCCAAAACACGTACAAGTCGGCAAAAGAATTCTTCCGTGACTTCGAACGACTAGCCAAGGAATCTGGAAAACGCCACAACGAGGAATACATGATCGAAATCCTCAAACCGGCAATCCGGAAAAACGTGAAAATGGCCATACACGCAACCGGCACCGCCTTACCCCGCACATACAACGAATGGAAGTTCTGGGTAGAACAAATGGACTACAATTACCACGTCGGACTAGCAGAAGACACGGGAAGAAGCCAAGTAAACCAGGGACAGCAGGGCAAGGGAAAAACCGGGAACACCGGCAATTCCCAGGGTGACAAGAAAACAGGCACGGGCACCACATACGGGGGGCAAGGACAACCAATGGAGATAGATTGCCTTCGAAAGGAAGGCCGCTGTTTCCGTTGCGGTCACAAGGGACATCGAAAGCAGGACAACAAATGCCCAAAGGACCAAAGCACCTGGCTCGTCAAACATCAACCCAAGTTCTCCCGAGCAGAAGTCCGAGCCATGTATCAGCAGGTGTTAAAGGATGAAGAACACAAGGCCTCAACCTCAAAAATTGAGGAGGTAAAAGACGAGCCGGCGGCATAAGCGACAAACGCGCGTCGGCTAAGGACTTAATTTCATTCAGTGGTGCGTCATCAGAACCCGCAGGTCGGACTAATATACCGCATGTAGTATCTCGAGGCAATGACACAATTTTCACGCATTCACAAAATGAAATTAACAAGTCGCATAAAAAGAACGGTGTACAGGGGATTTCCACCGTGCTCGAAGAAGAACCCCATCCAAGCTCCTTGGCCACCGGTGCGAAAGCACAAACTGCTAGTACAGTGCAAGGCGGTGGGACACTCAGGATCAACCTCACTCCGTCGGGGGCAGATGATGGCGCGGGAAACAGAGGAAGAGCGGCCGAGCCCAAGGCGAGCAGTGAAGAACCCCACTTGGGGGTGGAATGTACGTGCCAGCCACGAGTGACCGGCTGCCCTCATCGTGGAACGGAGCCGCAAGAGGGAACGCGAATCCCCAGCAACAAAACCGCTGCCCCGCAAAGAACAGTCAAGACGACCGGGGACCCCATTCCTCCACAGCGCATAACGGTACGTTTACCCCCTTCATCGCTAACACATAATGGCACCGGGGGCTCGTGTTCCCCGGTGGGTGGGTCGGTGGGACCATTATGTGCACCCCCTATTTCCAATAAAAATACTGTTTCTATCGAAGAAGTACCGGATGAGGAAGACGACTACAGTTATCAACAAAGCCTCAAAAATCAACCAAAAGGAGAAGACCCGGTGGTTCACACCGAGGAGTACCCAGAAGATTACGAGGTAACTGAGTTGGAAAACGAGTACTATGATGACAAGTGGGACAAGGGATGGATGAAGCCGCATAGCGCAGAATGGGTAAGAAGGAAAATGCGTCAGGAAAAAACCATGGATGGGAGGCTTGCTACCCTACGCATGTGGGTGCACCCCAGGCGCTTAATCGAAGTCGATGAAGACCTAGTCCTAGACCTTATAGGATCACCACAAGAAACATACCGACAACGCGAGCTATGCCTACAGAATATGCAAGATCTTCGGGCCCCTCCGCAATACATCCGAGGAGGAAAGGGGAGGAGCGTCAACATACGAGTACAACTGGAAACATTGGATACCAGTCAAGTACGAGCCGTAAACACATTGGTAGACAGCGGGTGCACCGGGAGCTGCATAAACCGATCGTTTGTGCAGGAACACCAGCTTAATACGGTAAAACTCGCCAAAGCTCAGGCAGTCTACAATGCGGATGGGAGTCGCAACAAGGGGGGAGACATAAGCGAGGTGGTGGAACTCCGAATGACAATCGGAGACCACCATGAAAAGATAGACCTTGCGGTCGTCGACCTAGGAAACGTACCCTTATTCCTGGGCCACGACTGGCTCAAATGACATAACCCAATCATCGACTGGAAGACTGGAGCAGTGTCCCTAGTCCGGTGCTCGTGTCGAAAAATACCATTTCAACTGCTGGACGAAGACCCAGAGCAAAACTGGGGCACAGAAGTAGAAGAAGGAGATACCATTCTGATCGTAGACTTTGAAGAAGCATTCCACGTACGAGCCATGGGGAGCAAAGCCAATGAGTTAGCCGCTAAAGCGAACCAGGCCAAAGAGGAAAAAATGTTTGAGGAAATAGTCCCGGAAGCGTACCGGGACTTCAAGGACGTATTCGCAAAAGAAAACTTTGACGAGTTACCACCCCGCAAACCATGGGACCATGCCATCGAGCTGATACCCAACGCGAATGCCAGCCTAGACTGCAAAGTCTATCCCCTTAACCCAACCGAACAAGAGGAGTTGGACAAATTCTTAGACGAAAACCTGGAATCGGGAAGGATCAGACCTTCCAAATCCCCAATGGCATCTCCCTTCTTCTTTGTCAAAAAGAAGGATGGAAAACTTCGACCAGTACAGGACTATCGAAAGTTAAACGAGATGACCATTAAGAACCGATACCCGCTACCTCTCATAGGGGAACTAATGGATCAACTCAAGGACGCGAAGTACTTCACCAAGCTAGATGTTAGGTGGGGATACAATAATGTACGCATCAAGCACGGGGACGAGTGGAAAGCGGCTTTCCGAACAAACCGTGGGCTCTTCGAACCCATGGTAATGTTCTTCGGACTTACCAACTCCCCGGCCACTTTCCAATGGATGATGAACGACTTGTTCAAGGAGCAGATTGCTTGCGGAGACGTCACCGTATACCTAGACGATATCCTGATCTGCACCAAAGACGAAGAGAAGCATCAGGCCATGGTACGGGAGGTGTTGGCCATTCTCCGCGCAAACAACCTATTCCTGAAAGCGGAAAAATGCGAGTTTGAGGTACTAGAAACCGAATACCTCGGGGTGATCATCAGCCAAGGGGCTATCTGCATGGATCCCGTGAAGGTCAAAGGAATCACGGAGTGGCCCCAACCAACCAAAAAACGGGAACTGCAATCGTTTTTGGGGTTCACAAACTTCTACCGAAGGTTCATTCAAGATTACAGCAAACACGTACGACCACTGACCCAACTCACCGGAAAAACAGAGTGGAGATGGGGAACCACGCAGGAAGAAGCGTTCAAAGAAATAAAACGCAAACTAGCCGAGGAGGTGGTACTAGCTATACCCAATAGAACCGGGAAATTCAGAGTAGAAGCGGACGCAAGTGAAGGGGCAATAGGAGCAGTACTATCCCAACAACAGGACGAGAGGTGGAGACCGGTGGCTTTCCTTTCCAAGGCGTTGACCATAACCGAACGAAATTACGAAATCTATGACAAGGAACTCCTGGCGATCATGTTGGCCCTCAACGACTGGAGACATTACCTGATGGGGGCACATCAAGATTTCGAAATATGGACTGATCATCAGAACCTCCAGTACTTCCGCAAACCCCAGAAGCTCAATCGCCAACAAGCACGATGGGTGACTGAACTAGCGGAATATCACTTCACTCTTCACCATAAACCGGGCACCGCCAACAAGAAGGCAGACCTTCTCTCACGACGAGCGGACCACGATCAAGGAGGAGCAGATAACAAAGAAATAGTAGTGCTGAAACCGGAAATGTTCCGAGCACTGATCATGCCAGGAGAAGAAGTGCATAAGAAGATCAAGGCGACGCTACGAGACGTAACCAAGTGGGATAAAGGGATAGAAGCATCTCTTCATCACCCCCGGGGAATAACCCAAAAGGACGGGTTAATGTACTACGATGGACGACTATATATTCCCTGCGATACAAAGCTGCGAGGAGAGCTAATCGCTATTCACCACGACCACATCACGGCCAGACACCCTGGCATCAAAAAAACAAAGGAACTCGTACAAAGAGAGTACTGGTGGCCGAAGCTCAAAAATGATGTTGAGAAGTACGTGAAAGGATGCAAGGCATGCCAACGCACCAAAACCAATACCCAAAGGAAAAGAGCACCGTTGCACCCACATGCGGTACCCACAAGACCATGGGAACACATCACCGTAGACATGATAGGCGAATTACCCGACTCCAATGGGTATAATGCCATCCTTATGATTGTTGACCGGTTCTCAAAGGAAGTCATTCCAATCCCCTGCTCCACCGAATTGACATCCGCAGGGTGGGCCAAAATACTCCGCGACCACGTCTGGGCAAAACACAGTATGCCACAAAAGGTCATCTCTGACCGGGGACCACAATTTGTGTCCAAATTTATGAAAGAGCTATACGAGATGCTACACATCCAGGGAAATCCCTCCACCACCTACCATCCCCAAACCGATGGACAGACTGAGAGAGCGAACCAAGAAATTGAAAAGTATCTCAGGATCTTCATCAATCACAGGCAAAATGACTGGAGCGAATGGCTACCTCTCGCCGCGTTTCAACACAACAATCGAAAACACTCCGCGACCGGATATTCCCCATTCGAAATCAATCATGGACAGAAGCCGCATCTCGCACCGCTCACTGTCAAAGAGGGAACAAACCCAGCCGCTAGAGAGTTTGTGGCAAACATACAGAAGGTACACGAACAAACAGCCAAGGCGTTGGAAAAAGCGGCGGAAACCATGAAACGACAATACGACAAGCATCAACAAACCGCCATAGAGTACCACCCCGGAGACAGGGTATGGTTGGACTCTACCAACCTCCATCTCCCTCGCCCAATGAAGAAGCTCGGAGACAAACGCGTAGGACCCTTTGAAGTAATTTCCAAGAAGGGCGCCTCCGCATACGAACTCAAGTTACCCTCGAATTGGAAAATTCACAATCGGTTCAATGAGAACCTATTAACCCCATATCACGCGCCGAAATTCCCAATTCAAATACAGCCTACGGCTCCTCCACCAGACCTAATAGACGGACAAGAACAATATGAGGTCGAGGAAATAGTAGACCGACGAGAACGAACGGTAGGAAAGGGACGTAAACGACACACCAAAACCGAATACCTCATCAAGTGGAAGGGTTATCCGAGGGAGGAGAACTCTTGGGTAAATGAACAGGAACTCGACAACGCCAGGGAAGCAATAGAAGACTTCGAACAAGTCTCTTTCAGCACTTTGCCCCAGCAGAGTGCTGGGAAAACAACGATAGAACCGATTCTTGGTCAGAAACTGAGTCCATAACCGAATCGGAAGTCGATCATCCCCTGGTACAAGCAATACAAAAGTACCTAATCAAACCAAATCCCGAAACACTCGTAGGCACCTATCTACCAAAGTCAAGCCATATCGCAGTCGGGACGACTGCCTTAACAGGGGGGTAATATTACGATTTCACGCTTTATCTCATCTTATCGAACTCATCGTAATCCTGCTATGCTAACTCTCCGACTCTGATCGTACTATACCATGCTAGTACCGTGCGTTTACCGCACCGTTACAGACTCTTGTAGTATATTTAGAACAGTCCAAACTGTATTTAAGTAGCTCGACTGCAGGTCTTAAACCTCAGTCTCGAACTAAAGTTTATTCACCCGATAACTTAGTCTGAACTCACTCTCGCTCGCTAAGCGATAGCTCCCTGCACACAAACCTGCAGACAACATAAAGCGCCTGACCGAAGTGCGAGTCACGCTTAGTTGTTTGATCTTGTTTGTGTAATCGGTCGCTAACACATGACCACAAAAGTGGCAACCCAGTTATGCAAATCTCGATCTTATCTGGAAATTTCAATTGCCCTTCTGGGCATGGTGGGCGAATCTTCAGCCTGAAGGCCATGTGGGAGCATATGAGCACCCCATTGAGGATCTTGAGTGTGAAGATGACGGATGCCCCATCCAAATTCATCCATCGACGGATATTAGCTGGGAGTGCCTCAAGACTTGCTCAGAGAAAAATGGTATGGTCAGCATTGTGGCAGCACTGTTTTTCTGGGCTGAGAGGGCCAAAGTTCTTCCTCTCACAACTCATCATGAGCGGGCTAGATCCAGTGAAGCCCACAAGGAGCTGTATTTTGCTATGGGAGACATTTGCTATGTACTACAGAGTTTGCTTGATTGAGCCGCTTTTCTTCTTATATCTTTCAATCCCACATATATATATCAAGTAGTAGTTTCGATGTAATACAATTGATTGAGCATGGGCCATCTCCGCCACGTGCTCTGAAAAATTTCCCATGAAGTCCTTTTAGAGGCGGCATCTCATTCACTCATTCATTTGATTGTTTGTGTTCTCTGCTGCGAGTGATCGCCACTACATCTCCAACATCACCTCGCACAGCAGCAATGACCAACATCGTCGACAAGCAGGGCACAATAACACTGTGATATGATCTCTGTCGCCCATCGGCATGCACTACAATATGTGAACAATCCAGACTGAAATTGGCAGGCCCAGTGATGATGATGATGATGGTGAGGGTGTGGGTTGGTGGATGGGTGGGGAAAATGATGCTGAAGGAATGTGATGGAGAATGTGGGATGGCCATATCAAGGTGGGAAGGGCGAATGGAGTGGAGGAAGGAGAAGGATGCTGGGCGGGAAGGTTCACAACAGGCTGGACACCGATGTTCGACGACGACGATGACGACGGCACTCAGAGCATGGATGGTTCAAATGACTCTGTAACAACTCCATCCCACTGCTAGTATTGCAGTGATTTCAACATGAGCTTTCCCTATGCTGTACGCACCGCCTACGTTGCTATCGTGTTGCATCCTCCATTTTCCATACTGGAGAGTACCATGCATTCGCTATATCCTCTCCCAGCTGCCACCGTCACCACCATCACCACTGCATGAGCTGACCCAACACCCTGCACCCCAAGCCACACCTCCAGCCAATTACGGTGCCTCCCGCCGACATATGAACCACCCCCTTTTACAACAGGGAAGGCAATGGTGGTACTGTCATCATGTTTGCCACTGCTGCCAAATGAGGCCAACCCCACTGCCAGCTCTTATCCCTGTTGGACTGCCACACATTCCACGACAGCCACTTTGTTATCCTGCCCTTATTCCTGACCAGTGGTAGCAGTGGTGGAGGTGAGGTGCGTTTGGCTGCCCCAGCACCCCATCGACATGCGTACGCCCATCCATCAGCCCTCCCTCCACATTCCCAGCAAGCACTATGTTTCATGTGTCCGATGTCACCCCTCAAAATCTCTCCCTTGGCGCCAAATCGCATTCTCTTTGTTTCCATTACACAAGCCCACCCACTGCTTATCGCCCCCCCTTATATATGTACTAATATATTTTTGCATTTTTATTATATATATCTCATGATTTTAAATAATTTCACTCAGATAAATTAGTATTGACGGATTCGGTATGTGCTGCCCAAGAGGCAGGATTAGCTAAGTACTTGTGGTGATCTGTGAAAAAAGAGGCTATATATACAGTAAGAATACTTATAATTTTAATATTAGTATGGTGTAGTGGTTAGCATGGCTGTGGTTAGTATCATGTGATGCAATTTGAAATTATTTTGGAGGTCCTGGGTTTGACTCTCGGTCGGCCGGCTATTTTCTGATGATGTCATTTCATTCCAGCTGTTGTGCTTATTAAAGCCTCTTGTAGTACCAGTGTGATTGCCCTATATAGGTTCAGTGTAAACTGATGCTGTTGATGTATCACAATTAAGTGTCAACTAATGCTGTTTGATATATCAGAGTAGCAGCTACAGGTACAGTCTTGACCATGATCACAGCTGCTCCATATAGCGATTAAGGGGGGATGCAAGACAATCAATAAGCTTTTCATCAACTATACAGCAGCTAACATTCTCCACCATGACATTGATGGCATCAACCCACTCCACATGTAATGCACTAACTTGGATTGAACAACGTTTGCCTCTAAACTGTCACTTGCATTCGGTGATTCAGTTGTGAAGAGGGCATTGCAATCACTAGGTTATGAACGATAGTTTTTAGGCACGAAACAGGGAGTTTCTGCGTGAAAAGTTAGGAGTGTATAACTTTAGCTGAAGCTGGGGTGTAAGACCACAGCAAGGCTCATTTAAATACATTGTGGTATTTACTAGTATGTACCGCTCCTATGTCTCGGTGCATGCTGTCCCAATGCAGCGCTGTCTTCTATGTCCTCTGTATCATATGGTGCTTGGTATAGGAGAAGCCCTCCTGCGAGTAAGAAGACTAGCATCCATAGGGCACTGTCTTCTGAGGAGCATACATGGCGGCTTGTCCATCCTGGGATGTGATCAGAGTCGACCTAAAGAAGCGTGACTGGGTGAAGGAGGGTCAGGCCCATAGGAGTGTGATCGGTCTATGGGCCATCAAACGGATCATGCATGTGAGCGGTGGATCTAGGGACCAATCAGATGGAACTGATGGTTGTGTTGTGGCAATGCTCCGATGATGCGGTATGAGCGTGATGATGCTAGAAGCGCTCCTGCGAGTAATAAGGGTAGCATCTGTGTGATGCTGCCTCCCACTGGGTATGGCTGCAGAGCCTATGACAGAGTCCTAGTGATGTGGTCCATGGCATGAGGTGATGCCGTGTGGGCATGTGACCAAGTGGGTCATGAATGATACAGGTCAGGTACAAGGAATGATGATGAGAGTCGAATGACGAGTTGCCATCTTGCCATGTACCGTGATAAGATAAGATAAGATAAGCAAAAAATAGGGGTGAATTCATGACACCACACCACAGTGAAGGCTGGTTTTCCAGGAATTGCAAAACTAATCATTGAGGCGTCTCCTGATGAGGCCCTTTACACTGAAAACGGTGTTGGAGAGACTCCTCTTGAAATCGCTTCATTGGAATACCTCGCCTGGAAGATGACATATCATGGGAATCAATATTCAGTCGCTAGTCCCGAACTAGGCAACAATGTAGACATGGTCCCGCATCACGTACCTGCCACACTTGCCAAGGACCTGCTTAAATTATGCTTGATGATGGCAGACCTTGTGCTAACAGGGAAGCTAACACTGGGCATGTTATTGGCTGATGAACTCGACAAATTTGCCTCTCTCTTGGAGACAAAGCTGATGGAAGTTTCCAAGACTGCAAAAAAGACAGAAGACGACATTAACCAAGTCGAAGGCATTGATAGATATGCGACCTTTGAAAAGGTCATAGTGGCTGTGATAAAGTGGCCTGGAAAGTGCAAGTTCGTGCATCTCCTTGACGTTCAGAGGTCTGTGCAAAGTAGCCTTGCTAAATCCAGGAAACTGGATGAGGTTTCACAATCGCTTCGTGGTGTAGACGAATTGGAACCTGAGGTAGATACGGCATGAAACGAGCGGAAGAACAGCCTGGTCATGAGAGTGTTGGGATGGAATGTGGAGCAGCAGGACTGGGAAGATTAAGGTTTAGACATCAATATTCTGACATTCTATTATTAAATACAATGGCTGTTCCATTTCCAGCAAAGAAGAAAAAATCATTCCGGATTTTGCCTGTTCTATATCCCAACTTTTTCCAGTGGTGTGATGTCCTGACTGGGGAACTGACCCAAGCCTTCGCGTCTTTTCTTTTCGGGAAATATGCCATCTAATAGGGAGAGTCCTGAAGCCAGTGCAGCAGCAGATGATAAAAACATTCATGAACAAGGTGTGCCAGCGTTTTTCCCTTCTGCTGGCTGTGTCATCACTGTCATGTAAATATGGAATCCATAGGGATGGAGCCTAGGCAGGAAGAAAATGAGAGAACGAGTTTGAAGAGAGTAAGGACGAGAAACTCGGCAACAAAGTCTCTTGACAAAGACGAGAAAAAGAAAAGGAAGACATGAAAAAGAGATTTGAGCCTTTTACCTATGATGCCACTTGACATTTTATTCACGGTAAGTCTAATCCTTCCTTGCCATCTCCAACTAACTTGAAATCTTTGCAGATCTGCAGTGTGCTTACTCCTCGCGACCTCATCAACTTATCGCGAGTTGACAGAAACTTTTTTCGCACATTGACAGCTCGCAATGTGTCATTCGTTTGGAAGGTGGTGAGGGAAGCTGAAAAAGGAATCAAACCGCCATGCAGGGTTTCTGAATACCGATGGGTAGTTCTCTTGTTTGGGATTTCAGCGTGTGATGTATGTCATGGTTTTATTTCTTACACAGAGTCTCAACTGGTTCGTGCCCATCAGCTCTGCAACGCAAAGAATATACCTGTGGGCTGGAAGTATCGTCATCGCATTTGCAGGTACTGCCTCAAGTCGCAGTTCCGAGTCCTATGAATATAGGATACTCGGTTATTATGGTGTCGTGAAACCCTGTGGGAAATTCTATTCGTGGAATCAGTGATGGCGGTGTTTGCCATCCCATCCTGTTTCTTCCTCTGTGGGTCTCTCATGGGAATAATTCTATTCATGGATGGCTATTCCCGTTTTTTTTCACGCTCCACAGTTTGCTCTTGTGCCACATCGCATTTCCCCTAGCCTGCTTCCTGTTCTCGTTTGTTTTCCATCATTTATATTCTGTATCCTCTTTAATTGATGTGTCTGTCTTGATTGATCTTATGTCCAGCCTTGTCCTTCTTGCTCATCTCGTTTCACTCCCGGTCTCTTCATCGTGCACTTTTCTTAATTTGAAATTCACGTTTCTCATTCGTACATATATCTGTGTATCATGTCGACATCATGATCTCTTCCTCCTCCTCCATTTCCGTCCTATTAAACCTTTTTGCCGTGGTCTGTATGTCATCTTCCTCATCTTCAAAACCTATCTTCCTCTTCATTGTTACGGTTATTCTTTTCTTTTTCTTTTTCTTTTCCCTTTCTTTTCTTTTCTTTAGTCAGCCGGATTACGCAACGCGCGATCATCACGGACTGACTGCGCAGTAGTATTTTTAGAATACTCACGTGTATTTAAGTAGAGCCTCAGCTGGTCTGAACCCCAGCTTCGGCTAAGGTTAATTCTACCTAACATCGAACTCCGTCCTTCGTGACTATCTGTCCCATCGACTTACGTCGCCTTTGACTTGCTAAAGCGTCGTCTACCGAAGTGCGAGTAGCGACCTTAGTGCGATCTAAGTCGATTTGAGTTAGTGGCTAACATTTAGCCGAAGCTCGTCTACCACCGCCCAGCGTCACTTCTGAGAAAGAGCGCTGCTCGGTTACTTTCAAAAGCAATTTCACCTCGCTTGACCAGAGGAGGTCATCGCCTGCGTTCGTGTGGACAACCCGGTGCTTGTCAACGCATAGCGAGTGGACCGACGGAAAAGCCCCTCACCTGTATTCAAGATTCGTCCGATACACTTCCTCGTCGCAGTAGTCCTTTGGGTAATCCCCTTCCGACTACTCCTTCTAGCACTAGTGGTCGACTTAATCGTCGAATTCATTCTTTTCGACGACCTCATCCTCGCAGTCTTCGTGACTGTATACTTCACCTTCGTCCTAATCGGACTCGGAATATCTGCAGTGTTACTAGCAGGCTTGTTAGTCGCCCTGTACACGTTATATCCCCGTCTCGTTTAAGGACACTACGTATTCCACTATTAAACCCTTCATACTCGCTCTCCAACTCGCCTCTCTATTGACAATCGCCTTGTTAATAGTGACGAGCTCCCCTTCCGACGAATCCTGCGAGATCTCGTTAATGAACGGTTCCAATTACGAGACCGACCTTAGCTTGATCATCGCGCTTCTCATTGTCCTCACCATACTTGCTGTTTATCAGCTTGCATGGTCCATCGTCGACTTACGCCACGGATAGATTCCCGGACAGATGCCCTGGTCCGAATCCATTCTCGCCGTCTTCGCGACTTTCATACTCTTTTCATTGTCCATTATTTTGTACCGGATACACCGTTGTTTTCGACAACAAAGGCAGGTCCGCGCGCAACTCCCCTTCCATTACATTCCCAGTACCCCGGCGTATCCACCGCCAGTAATTCACATTCCCTCGGCATCACAACAGACGATCGAAGATGTCGAATCTGACGCCTCCGGGAGACCTGGAGGGTCCCTCTACACATCGTCGCGACCCAGCTCGCGATCCTCCGAGTCGAGCACCGACTCCTACAGAAGCGCTTCCAGCGCACCAGCAGAGTCCATCGACATCACCGATACCCGGGGGGTACTCCTCGACCGAGGAGACTCGCCCTTACCAGGTCTCTTCGACAAGTCTCCAGTCCAAGACAAGTCTGGCGACGACGGAGACAGAGGACAAGACACCAGGAATCTGGTCGAGGGCGAAGAAAGCCCTGATACCGAGTTCGAAGGGGACGAGCTCACCGAGTGGGAAAGGACCCGACTCGACGACCTCTACCTGCGTGAGGAAGAAAATGCCCCCGATTCCGGAGGCTCCACGAGCGAAAGAACCCACTCAGGGTGGGGACACGCAGGCACGCGGGAGGAGGCCCGAGACCGGAGAATCGCGGCCGACGATGCAAGAGATCGCGCAAGAATGGCACGCAACAGGGGTCGTCGAGACGACTTCTACGACGATCCCCGAGAGCTTAGCCTCGGAGCCTCCGCGGCTACCACCAGTACAACTCAGCCACAGCCTGTTTCAAGGGCCTGGCCAACCAATCGAGGGTCCCCGGTCGCCTGGTACCCCAACACCAGTTGGGTCTACGCCGATGACAGGGAAGAGACTCCTGTGGCCGGAGTCACGACCAACAGAGAGCCCGACCCGCTCTCTGAGGGGCCCGAGGTCCCAACGCTCCCTTCCCCCGTCCCCTCGTACGAGCTGACGAATGGGGAGCTTTGGGGCGAGTTCCCAGATTACGACGCCGAGGAACTTGGAACAGTTACCTCTTCCGAGCGACTCGCCGGAGTCTCCAACTGGGAACCGTCCGTCGCGTCGCGAGCCTTCGCCGACCCAGTCCCTCCATCTCAGCGTCCGTGGCCGCTCCTCTATCACACGTACGTCGAGTCCCTCCGACTCCCTCGAGATGCCCGGGAATCCCCAGAGATCCAGGCCAGAATGGAGCGAGGCAGAGCGCATGATGCACGCATCCGACGTGCCGAAGAGGACGCCCTCTACGGGCCCAACGGCTTCTGGGATCTTCCCCTCGAGCCCGACGCCACTCCCACCGAGGTTGACAACCGAATCAGAGCCGCCGCCGTCCGTTATACAGGATATGCCCAAAGGGCAGGGACCGACCTTGAGGCAAGAGCACAAGCATGGAGAGTCTACCAAGAGGAGATCTCCAACGAGGACTCAGACATTGGGAGGTGGAAGCGAAACAAGGAGCTGGACCGACTCGCCCGAGAGAGGAAGGAGGCAAAGGATGCCGAGTCGACCCCCAAGCCAGGCTCTGGAGCCAACGGTAATGGCGGCAGTAAGGCAGGTCCTTCTTAAAGGACCTGTCCCTCGACCCGCCATCTTCGAACTCCTTCCGTGGCATGGGTTGTACGAGATTATCATGGAAGACATGGAGAAGGACCCCCAGTGGTTATTCACTGATGCGGGGGTCGATTATCAAGCCGCAAAAACGATGGGGGATGTATATTTAATGAAGAATATACTCGAAGTAGAGACATGGCACCGGGCCGCTATTGTATGGAACATGGTGAACCCCGCAGTGCCTCAGCGAGGGTGCGAGCCGTACCGACGCCCTCAACCAATGCCGAACCCACTCGAGACCGAAGAGTTTTGGGCAGGTGCCGGCCCCGACGACGACGACATGGACGACCCCGGCGCGGGACCTTCTGACAAAGGAAAGCAGTCCGCGGTCCCGCTACAACTGCCGTCCCAACCTCCGCGACGACCAGTGGACCCGGGCGATTACCCCCCTCCAGGGGACAATTATCGCCTACGGTCCCTCCCGCGACCGCCTAATCCTCCGGTACCGCCATCAGTGCCTTCGCCCCCGGATCCCATTCCTCCGTGGACGTTAGCCGCGGGGAAGGACAATAACCCGTGGGGTGACGTAAAGCCCAAACTTATTACGCAACCAGAATACTTTACGGGGGAATCAGAAGACATCAACCGCTTCCTACATCACTGCGAGATGTACTTCCAGGTCTTCCCCCTACACTTCACGATGAACGATCAAGGCCAGAATCCTTATCGGATCACGTTTGCACAAGGCTACCTACGAGAGAAGGCGAAGCAGTGGTGGGGTGACCAGTACTATCGCTACCGGGACGCACAGGGGCACTGGAGATTCCCCACCTGGGCGGAATTCTCCCGCGACCTCACGCAGGAGTTCCGAGAAGTGGCGGAAGTCGCCATCTGGAAGGCAGAATGGAAGAAGGTTCGGCAGTCGGAATTCAAGTCCGCAGTCGAATTCTTCGCGAAGTTCGAACGGTTGGCCCACAAGTGCGGAGAATTCGGGGACGAAAAGCAGATGTTCGAAGCGGTGGAAGCGGCCATCAGGCTGACAGTGCGCAAGACGGTTATGCATGGGGACAACGAGCGCCCCACAACCTACGCACAATGGAAGGCGCGAGTCCTCCGGATCGACGCCAACTATAGATACGACGTGGCTCAAGGCCTCGCCAGTAAGACCTCCCCGAACTCGAGCAGTTCGGGTCGAGGCAACCAATCAAAGGGATCAGGTTCTAGTGGCGACAAGAAGGACGCCACGGGAACCACCTACGGTGGGGCAGGGCAACCAATGGAGATCGACAAGCTTCGATCCGACAAGCGGTGCTTTAAGTGTGGGAACACGGGGTGGAGCCCGAAGCACAAATGCCCTGACGACAAGTCCAAGTGGCTTCCCGTCAAACTCCCACCTCGTAAAAAGCCCAACGCCGCTCGCCTCCGCCAATTACTCGCTGAAGCCGAAAAGGAAGAATTAGGGAAGGATACGAAAGTTGAGGAGGTCAAGGAGGACGATAAGTCGTCAAAAGACCAGCCGGCGTCAAAGTAAGTGATTCGACGACGTCGGCTAAGGACTTAGTTTCATCTGGTGCGCCTTCGTGTACTATTAGTCGGACTTATACTACATATGTAGGTACCCCGTACGAGCAATATACCATTTTTTCCGCCGCGTTACCAGAGGACCAAACTAAGAATGAAGAATCACAAAACGACCACGGCGTAGGAGGGGATTACCGCCTCCTAACGCAGCCTGCGTCTGGAAATGAACCCCTAGGGGCCGTCCCAGCTCAGGAACCCCCGGCCGACCGCACAGGGAAAGCCCCTCGAGGGCAGAGCCCCCTAGGTCGAGTCTCGACTGCACCCTTGACGAAGGGAGGTCACCCCGGAGTGGGAGAAAGGCCGACAACCCAGCCCGCTGGGCCTGCGTCCTCGTCTGTGGGGCCGTCTGTTCCAGTGGGAGGCGTGGAGAAAGCAGCTGAGGCCGTGAAGGCGAGGGACCCCCTGCCCTTAGTAGCCAAGGACAATGCTGCGGCAAACGGTGCAGACCCCTCGTCCGAGCCGACATGTGTGCGCTCCCGAAGGGTTACCCGAAGTACCACCAGGTCCAGGAAGAGCCGTAAGTACAGGACAACCGTGGAGGTTGCAACGTCGCGCACAAGCGCCCGAGGCCAGGGCCGAACACAGGGCAGCGAGCCCTCCTCCACCAACTCGTCGGAAGGTGACCAAATGCCGCCGAGGGGCCCTAACGACCGGCCCGGTGACCAAATGCCGCCTACGAGTACAACATCCCGAGTCTCTGTAGAGGAAGTGGAGGACGAAGAAGCCTACCTTCGGTCCGATATCCCGGTCCGAGTACCACCAGGGAAGTCTACCGTGACCCCTGCCTCGGAGCCTAGACCCGCTAAGCGGACACCCATCCAAGACACCTATTACGAGCCGTTCGGGCCGCACTGGACCCGAAGGGCATTACGACTAGCCACCACAGAATCAGCCGCTTTCGCCACCCTCTACCGATGGGTACACCCCCGGCGAACCGAGGAAGTCACCATCGAGCTTTGGGAAGCGCTTAAGGAGCAACCCGAAACCGCATCAGAGGCGAGAGACAGGTGGGGGTGGATGGAAGATCTTAAAAAACCTCCTATGTACATACGAGGACGGAAGGGCCACAATGTATCCATTACCGTACAACTGGAAACGCTAGACACTCGAGAGACGCACTCCGTGAAGGCGCTAGTGGACAGTGGAGCCACTGGCAGCTCGATCGATCGCGACTGGGCTCAAGACCACGCCCTCAACCTCAAAAAGGCAGCTCGCCCTGTTCCGGTCTATAATGCCGACGGCACTCGAAACAAGGGCGGTGACATCACTGAATATGCCGAGGTATGGCTTCGAATAGGAGATCACGTGGAACGGATCGAACTAGCCGTAGTGGATTTAGGATCTACCCCCCTTTTCCTCGGGCATGATTGGTTACAAAGACATAACCCGTTGATCGACTGGGATACCGGGGCCGTTACTCTGGCCCACTGTACCTGTCGAAAAATCCCTTTCTCGCTCCCCGATATGGATCCTACGTCTCGATGGGAGGAATATGAAGAAGGGGATACGATCCTAGTAATCAATTTTGAAGAAGCATTCCACGTACGGGCCATGGGGACTAAGGCCAATGAATTGGCCGCTCAAGCCAATGCTCGTAAAACCGTCAAGTCTTTCGAGGAAATAGTCCCCGAGGAATATAGGGAATTTGAGGATGTGTTCGCCAAAGAGAATTTCGACGAATTACCACCGCGAAAACCATGGGACCACGCTATCGAACTCATCCCTAACGCCAATGCTAATCTGGACTGTAAAGTTTATCCCCTTAATCCGGTGGAACAGGAGGAGTTGGACAAGTTCCTGGACGAGAACTTATCTACCGGGCGCATTCAAGCCTCCAAGTCCCCGATGGCGTCACCGTTCTTCTTCGTCAAGAAGAAGGACGGTAAACTACGTCCGGTTCAGGACTACCGCAAGCTTAACGAAATGACGGTCAAGAACAGATACCCACTGCCCCTCATCGGAGAGCTCATGGATCGTCTGAAACAAGCAAAGTACTTCACCAAGCTGGACGTGCGGTGGGGGTACAACAACGTCAGAATAAAGCAGGGGGATGAGTGGAAGGCAGCCTTTCGCACCAATCGCGGCCTTTACGAACCGCTGGTGATGTTCTTCGGACTCACAAATTCACCCGCCACCTTCCAGTGGATGATGAACGATATATTCAAGGAACTCATCACTGCAGGAGAAGTATCGGTTTACCTCGATGACATCCTTATCGCCTCGAAGGACAAAAAGGACCACAAGCGTATCGTCCGTAAAGTACTTCAAATCCTCCGCGAGAACCAGCTGTTCCTTAAAGCGGAAAAATGCGAGTTCGAAGTGGAAGAGACAGAATACCTAGGGGTACTTATTAGCGAGGGAAGGATTCGCATGGATCCCGTCAAGATTGCCGGTCTTCTAGACTGGCCTACTCCGTCAAAGAAGCAGGAACTCCAGTCCTTCCTGGGCTTCTGCAACTTTTATCGTCGATTCATACGCGATTACAGCAAGCACGTCAAGCCTCTCACGGCTCTGACAGGAAAAGTGGAATGGAAATGGGGGGAAACTCAACGGGCGGCGTTTAACAAGATCAAGGAACTCTTTAAGGAGGATGTAGTCCTCGCGATCCCGCTCGACCAGGGAAAATTCCGAGTGGAAGCAGACTCCAGCGAGGGAGCCATCGGAGCAGTCCTCTCACAATGGCAAGAGGAGAAGTGGCAACCAGTAGCCTTCCTCTCCAAAGCGCTATCGATCACCGAGCGCAATTATGAAATTTACGACAAGGAACTTCTTGCCATCATGATTGCGTTGGAGGAATGGCGACAATACCTTATGGGAGCCCGGGAAAACTTTGAGATTTGGACCGATCACTCCAATCTCCAGTATTTCCGAAAGCCCCAAAAGCTCAATCGACAACAGGCCCGATGGGTGACAGAATTGGCCGAATATCAGTTCACTTTGCACCACAAACCCGGGGCCCAAAATCGAAAAGCAGACTTGCTATCCAGAAGGGCGGATCATGATCAGGGGAAGGACGACAACCGGGACGTAACGGTCTTAAAACCCGCTCACTTCCGCGCACTCATCATGCCTACCGCAGAGGGGTTACACAAAAAGATTAAACAAGCCACTCATGACCCACGTAAGTGGGATCGAGGCGTGTCGGATTCCCTTAACCACGAAAAGGGGATCTCTCGAGACCAGGAGTTGCTTTGGTACGACGGACGTATCTACGTACCAAGGGACAAGGGGCTGCGAGGCGAGATCATATCCTTGCGGCACGATCATGTAACAGTGGGACACCCTGGTATTGAAAAGACCAAAGAGCTCATCTTAAGGGACTATTGGTGGCCACGAATGCGCGCCGAGGTAGAAGGGTACGTTAGGGGGTGCGAAGTCTGCCAACGAACTAAGGCGGATCGTCGCCTCAAAAAGGCCCCTCTCCATCCGAATGAGGTTCCCAACCGACCGTGGACCCATATTTCGGTCGACATGATCACTAAACTTCCCGATTCGAAGGGGAATAATTCAATTCTGGTCCTGGTCGATCGATTCTCCAAGACCATCATACCCATCGCGTGCACCGAGGAATTGTCATCGCTAGGTTTTGCCAAAATCCTCCGAGACTACATTTATGTGCCGTACGGTGTAATGCCCGAAAAGGTTATCTCGGACAGAGGGGCCGTCTTTGTGTCCAAATTTATGAAGGAGTTCTACGCTCTCATTCAAGTCACGGGAAACCCCTCGACGGCCTACCACCCTCAGACCGACGGACAAACAGAAAGGGTCAATCAAGAAATTGAGAAGTACCTCAAGATGTTCGTCAATTATCGTCAGGACGATTGGAGCGAATGGCTGCCACTTGCAGCGTTCACTCACAATAACCGGAAGCACTCCGCTACTGGTTTCTCCCCATACAAGGTAGTCTTTGGGTGCAACGGGCAGGTCATCAAAACCACTCAGCGACCAGACGCGGTCCCGGCCGCGTCAAAACTAGTGCAAGGAATCCAGGAAGTACAAGAGAAGGCGAAGGAATCCCTTGAACGAGCGGCCGAGTTGATGAAGAAGAACTATGACAAGCATAAAGGGAAGGCAATGGAATACCAACCCGGCGATAAAGTATGGCTGGATTCCACTCATCTCAACCTTCCACGTCCCGCAAAGAAATTAGGAGACCGACGAGTCGGTCCGTTCACTATCGTAGCCAAGAAAGGAGCATCAGCCTATGAGCTGAAACTCCCACAAAAATGGCGCATTCATAATCGATTCAACGAGTCGCTGTTGTCTCCCTACCGCTCACCGGAATTCTCGAATCAGCCGCGACCTGAAAGGCCACCCCCGGAACTCATCGATGATGAAGAAGAATACGAGATCGAGGAGATTGTTACAGAAAGAGATCGACTTGTCGGCCGTGGAAACACCTGCCGAACAATTACTGAATACCTTGTCAAATGGAAAGGATATCCAGTGGAGGAAAACTCATGGGTGAAACGTTCCGACATGGCAAATGCGGAGGAACTCGTCAACGACTATGAATCCCGTATCCAAAAGATGATTTGGACGGTAAACGACCAGGGAAAGACGGTCGGATTCGACGACAAGATACCACGTAATTTGCTGGTCGAATACAATAATCCCAACAGTCCGTGTGTTACCGACATCATAACGGTACATTCATCCGAGTGTACGAACCCTAAACACTTGGACGCCCAACAAGACTCTTATCCTCCTTCCGAAATTATTCACAACATCGCCCTTCCCGACGATTGTCCGGAAGAAGAGGAAGAAGTGAATCTCCAGAACCTCGAACGTATACGAGAAAATTGGGATAGCGACACCGATAACGATGATGACACAGACGACGATACCTGGTCATTCTACTCAGAATCATGCCGCTCGACTTCGAGTGGCGAAACGGACTCAAGGGACTCTTGCCAGACGAGCGCGGCCTAGATAGGCCATTTCTTATGGTGTAGAAGGGGATTTCCACCGCTCAACCATGAGCATTGAACCCTTAGGGATCGCGGATCCCAACAGACAGTCGAGGACTAACCGGCGCAAGGTGGCTCAGGATTTATAGGAACCTGCGTCCAGGAGGAGAGAGGGTTGGAGGCCGAACACACGAAGTGACTCTTTTGCGGTGTAGCGGAAGCCCAATCAATCCCGTTTTAAAGCAGAAGGGAGACCCTCGACTCGCTGGTGTGGAAGGAAGGAGATATATTCTCATTCGGGACGAATGAGTCTTAAGGAGGGGGTAATGTTACGGTTATTCTTTTCTTTTTCTTTTTCTTTTCCCTTTCTTTTCTTTTCTTTAGTCAGCCGGATTACGCAACGCGCGATCATCACGGACTGACTGCGCAGTAGTATTTTTAGAATACTCACGTGTATTTAAGTAGAGCCTCAGCTGGTCTGAACCCCAGCTTCGGCTAAGGTTAATTCTACCTAACATCGAACTCCGTCCTTCGTGACTATCTGTCCCATCGACTTACGTCGCCTTTGACTTGCTAAAGCGTCGTCTACCGAAGTGCGAGTAGCGACCTTAGTGCGATCTAAGTCAATTTGAGTTAGTGGCTAACATTCATTTTCACCACCGACTGTGATGGTGTATTAGCCATGTTCCTTCTTTCCGTATTCGCCTTCTGTGACTTTTTCAGCGATGTTTGACATACACATTGAAGTGCTCACTGATGAATGGTCTGAGTTTGCGAGCGCTATGGCTCTCAATATCAATTTGGTCTTTGCGACACCGTCGTTGGTCTTCATGAACACCATAGAGCACTGGGCTTCCACGATATCACCTATTCTGAGCATTTGGGGCTTCACCATCACGTATCTGCATTCACAAGGTATGGTTGGCTCCATTCTGAGCACATATGTGTTGATCTCGCTTACCTTTTCTTGCCTGCTTCGTCTATCAGACCCCTGAAGTATCCCACCTCGTTGTCCTCAGTGTGCACCCATTTTTGTTGTGCTATCTTGGCTAGGATTCCCATCGGGTCGACGTCAGGCGAAAAGGGCATGTCCTCCTCGTTCAAGTTGTTCCGAGGTCTGAAGTATCAGTTCGACAGCTCCACCACGTCCAGATCCTTTACCTTTGTTGGCTTCCATTCTTCCATCTTGCCCTCCTTGAACTCTCTCTCCCATCATTTGCAGACTCTTTATAGCAGATATGGCCTTGTCATACCCCTTGCTCCCGAGACCTATGAGTTGTACCATTTGGCTTAGGAACCTCGCTTTCTCTTTTTGCATCCTGACTATGACTTTCATGAGTACACTACATTCATTTGGACCATATTGTCCACTCACCTTGTTTCCTTTGTGACAGGTGGTAGAACCATCGTGTATATTGCACTGGTCATCGTGAATACCACTTCTTCTATCACACCCTCCTGCAGTCTTTCAGATGATCCTTCATGCACCCGCATCCTCATCTCTCTCGATGCTCGCTGATTTGATAACGCTGTGTTCCTAGTATGTCTCTTCAGTATGATTCTACCTTGCCATAATTGATTCTTACCTTCATAACCCTGCAACAGGTGCAGTTTGTCTTTTGCTGTCCTCTCGTTTATGAGTGCTTCGATCGTGTCTTCTGTGCATACCTACAGTTAGTCATTTTCTCCAATCTGTTTCGATTGTTACTTACTCGCTTCATCTCTGTCATAGAATCAATCCATCCTTTCGCAACAAACTGGTTGTGGATTTGGTACCCATTTGCCACTATATTTCTTTTCCTTCTATTACTTATCACCCTCATTTTCTACCGACAGTCTACCTCTGTCATGATGTTCATGTCTGATGGCACTGATGGTTGTCTTCCAGCTTGACTCTCATCAGGTTTTCATTTCTTTTGTCCATCGTATCTCCTGTCGTACCTCATGTTCATCTCCTACAGTGCTATCTTATCCTTGGTTTTACCTGCTTCCCTTGAATCTATGCATATGTTGTGACATCCTTTTTCATGTTTTTGTTGTCTCTATTACCATGCTGGGTTGCCCATGCGCTCGTCCATGTGTGCTTCAATTCGTTCGTTTCATGTATGTCATTATTAATTTGCTGTGTTACATATGTTCTTTTCATTATATTTTTTTGCTTCTTTTGATTCTATGACAATCAGCATATTCTCCACATGTGTCATGCAGTTCCCTTCGATTCTTTTGGACGTCTTGTTCACTTGTCAGTCGTGGTATTTACCCTCTGGGGGTGAAGGCTCAATTGACCTTCAGTGCCTTGATGCAGTTCCATTGCCCTTCTCCCTCGACTCTCAGTGATCCTCACTGGTGCAACCTTCCAGTCCGCTGCATATCCCTGATCCCATGTCCATAGTTGATGGAAATGCATGTTATCAACTAGTGGGTATTGTATATTTCGGAAACAGTCATTTTACAGCCAGGTATGTCAATCCCTGACCGTGTTGTATGGTTCAATGATGGTATGATTCAATGGAGATGTGCAACACTGAGAAGGTGGAATCGAACATCATTGATATGCGCCTTTGATCCAAATGGCAAAACTCCGGATATATTCACATACAAACGATGCACCGGGTAAGGTGATTGATCTATCTGACAAACATAGGACTCGGAATTGCCACACATATGGGATGGCCCTCACTTGCTAGTTAGTTTGTTCTCCTTCATAGCCCACTATACACTGGCAGAGCTGATCAATTCTTAGCTCGATTTGCATGAGCAAGGTTGCCAAGAAATTTCCTGGTATCGATGCCGCCATTCTGGATATGGTTCCTGTCACCTATCGTAAAGTCATTGTCTATTCTCCACCTGATTAGTATTGAATTTAGTCTGATAGCGTCTTATGGCTCACTCTCTTACTATTGGATCCCAGCTATCCAAGAGATTCAAGAGAAAATTTGAAACATTCAAGCAACTGGCAAACCTGGAGCCTCCGACCGTGTAGCTGAGTTTTGCAAAGAACGGAAGCAAGAGTTCGAAGATATGCTGGAGGTATGTGCCTGAGACTGAGTTTCTCCCTTATCTGACTTGCTCTTCTCCAGGACAGCAGTCGATGTGAGAGTTGGGCTCGCCGTTATGTCCAAAAGCAAACTGAAGAATCGATGCAACTGAAAGAGAAGAGATTTTCAAAGTAGGTTTACTCAATCGTGAAGATACTGTTCCTTTTAAAGCCCCCCAACATAGGATAAAAGAGCATCTTCTAGAGTTGGGCTATACCGAGCAAGACGTTAGAGGTATTAAATATAATCAATCCATGGACCAAGACAATGAGCTCACCTCAAGAGGTATGCACGTTTCTTGACACCTATAGCACCTGTTCTCAACGACGATTCAATAGGTTGGAACATGATACACTCAGGTCTCGAGGCAAAAATTCAGCAAAATCATGTTCAGCAAGCCAAAGTGGAACATAGAGCAGCCCTATATAAGTGTGCTAACATTGTTAAAGGTCTCCTCAAAACATACAAGCAAAACTTTCTGCCTATAATTTGGCAGGATATGCCTCCATATATAGATGTTTGCATGTTCCCTGTGTTCAAGATGATCTTGAACCGTCCCACGGAGGACAATGTCACAGAGAACAGTTTTGCTGATGCCATGAATGAGCTCTCAGATCTCATTGCTGATTGGCAGCAGCACAGGGAGGCTGATTCATGGACAGCAGTCACAATACATTTTCAGCCTGCAGACGGCATTGATCCCTTGAAGCTAGCAATAGCAGTCTTCTCCTGCAAAAGCAAAGAGTGTCCTGGCCACTTCACTAACACAGATATCTGGCAGCACCAGTGTCCTTCTCATGGTTCATCGAATAATACACGGTATTCCAGTGTCTCAGAGATCCAGAATGCCAGTGATCTGTATAAGAATTTGGGGTACTGGGAACTCTCCTTTGATACTATGCGATCTGCCAAAGTTGCTGATGCAGTATGCCTTGCCTCCCGTGATCCAGCCACAACTACTGTGGAGGAGATGGATGTCTTGGATTTCCGATTCGTCACTCTAGACTGCTGTGTTCAAGAGTATGCTTCAGTCGGGGGAAATGTCACTTTGCATAGGTGTCCTGTCCTTTCATGGCATGAATGCATGAGTGTCTATGCTTGATTTGGTTTTAAGGGTGCTGATCAGAGCTACTATTCAAGGCCTGGGGCCCAGGTGAAGTTCGTTTACTCATGCCAGAAGATGAAGCCAAGAAGCGACACATTCTCTGAAGACCACAGAGGCAGAAATATAGTGTTTTTTGCTGTCAGCATTGTTCGGATAATCTTGACAATCCAAAATCATACGAGGAGGTTACTGGGCATGCTCGAGACATGTACGTATTCTTTCAATCCTCATCTTTTCCATTCTACTCCTTACAGAATGTCTTAGGCATGGTATCGACACTCCCAAGATTAACCACGACTTGTTCCTGAAGAGCATCTCAGCTGGCTTATCATTTCATATTTCATGGCCGAAGCGTCAACAAGAGAAAGGTTGTGGTAGTCCAGAAAGAGAGCAAAGTAAATATTAAAATAATTGATGACTAATCATTGGTAACGTGACTTGTTTACTTATATGGGTCCAAACTTCTAAGTTCTTGATTTATCACTGAACCCCCCAGCACGGTCATTGGTCAGGACACATTTTTTCTTTGCACCCATCGATATCCAATGTGCATTCCACAAGAAAAGTATGCAAGATGCTACACGTATACTTACCTCATGGCTAAACACAAATTGCTAGGATGACCCCTATCTCTATCCATGCTGAAGCGTCCAATAAACATACTTCGGTCGGTCTTAACAGAGAAGTCTATGTTGACTTAACCTTTGCCTCGAAGCCACTCGGCCTGCCAGGTCAGGAAGGCTACGGCTGGCCTCAGCTCGACTTCGATGAAGCTATTGGCCCAGAAAACCGTTATGTTATTTGCAGAAAACTTGGCTGGGGCATGTCTTCAAGTACATGGCTTGCCCAAGACAAAATGTATGTGTTTAAAGTTACTAGCAGGCTGTAGGTTCCTCAATAAAAATTTGACATACATATTTCTATCCTCTAGGGATAACTCCTATGTTGCCCTCAAAATCCTTAATGGCTTTCACACCGAACTTGTCGAATGCGGCCGCGTTTGGGAACTTGAAGCTCTGCAGCGGATATCGTCATCCCCGTCGACGCATTGTCTGCAGCTCATGTCACACTTCACCCTTCCCGGAAAGGGCACTGCAGGACAACACCTCTGCCTAGTCACCAAAGTCCTCGGTGGGGATGTAAAGTCACTGTTCAAAAAGCATGGTATCTTTCCTTTCCCTCTCGCTAAATGCATCATTCTACACTTGCTTCGCGGAATTGCCCATGCACACAGCCACAGTGTCATGCACACCGATCTGAAGCATGACAACATTTTTTTTGATACTCCAATATCCACAGATGACTTTGACAAGCTTCTCATGTCTGACCCACCTCATTGACATGTACCCGAAGCTTCTCATGATGGATTGGTAGAGGCCGCTGTCTCACAGCCGCTTCCTATCCCTACTCTGCAAGAGGCCATGCAGCGAACTTTTGTAGTTGCTGACTTTGGCCATGGTAAGTCCAAAAATACCTATGTCGCTTCCTAGTTGTTTCTCAGTTATTCTTACAGCCCAGTTCATCGAAAACCACACTGAAAATAAAATTTCCCCTCCGCCGCTTCGTCCTCCTGAAATAATCATTGGAGGACCATGGGATGCCAAGGTAGACATATGGACATTTGGATGCTTGGTATGTGCTTTCATCCTCCGCCGTTTGTCATGTCGATGAACACATGTCAAAGATCTTTGAGCTCATCACCGGTCGTGCTCTCTTCAAGTATGAGCCTGATCCCAAATTCAACCTAGATGAGCCAAATCATATCCTATATCAGATGCTATGCTACACATGCGAAGACATTCGAGCAGAACAGCTCATGGTCAGCGCTTTGGCTGACCAATTCTTTGATACAAACTGTAAGTGTGCACTCCCAGTGTTGTCCCTCATCCTTCACTCAATGCTACGCAGGTAATCTCAAAGCTATACCGAGACTCATGGATTACCCTTTCGAGATATTC